GGGGGAGGGGGGTACAGGTGACAGAGGAGGCAGAAGACAGAAGTGAGGAAAGGTGGAAGGGAGGGGAGGGGGCTCTCTGGACTCGTTTACCGGAAAGTTCCACAGTACTGAATGCATCTCTCTCTCACTCGTGAACCTACTATGGTGGTGTGGCAGAGTTAATCTCTTTACAAACTGCCCCCCCCAATACCCTCCGCCTTTCACTTTCCACAAAGTTTGCTATTCCCATGGAGACTGAGCAAGGAATTACCCCGAACCTTCCAAAGAGAAAGAGCGAGGAGGAGAAGAAAGGAAGAAAAGGGGTGGGGGGGGGGAAATGGAAGATAAAAACACAGTGACTGCGCGGATAGTGCAGGCTGAGTCGTGGAGGAAGAGCTGAACTCCTGAATGTATCCAGCCAAACAGGGTTAGATCAGGACCGGTGGGAGTCATGAATGAGCTCTGTACATTAGTTTATTAGTTATCATATATCACATCGTATGCGCGTCACAACAATTAATATTCTTGCTTATCCATTATAATGTCCCTGTGAAAATGCATTAAAATAAGTCATTCACAGGTCGGTGTTCCTCTAGCAGAGTCTACCTAGTAACTGAGGTTTGGGCAGCAGTACAGTACGTGAAAGAAGTCAAAGTATAGAAACATATGACAAAAATCAAGGCATCCACCTGAGAAATGAATGCTGGGTCTGAGCACGCTATAAGAAAAAAGGTTAACGTTAAAGGAGGCGGAGCTGGGCTGTACCGGCATCCGTCTGTATTTAAAGCCTGCAGCCCTGCAACACAGGACTTCACAGGTCACTGAGGAGGCCCAGAGGAGAGGAGACCTTGAGCAGGAGGTCTGGGGGGGCAGTAGGGGGGCTGCGACAGATGCTGAGTAGAAACGGAGACCTTGTTGAGGGCAGAGGGGGGCGAGCAGGGGACACCGTGGAGTGAGAGAGTGAGGGGGCACGAAAAGGAGGGAGAGAGAGGGGAAACAAAGAGGAGAAAGGGGCTTTGTTGTTTGTCAGTTCAGGGGCCTGTCATCCCCCCCCCCCATCCCATCTCCCCCTCCATCTTCCCCATGGGAAATCGCGTATGCCTTTCCCATGCCCAGCCTGAGAACACGCTGTCATTTACCGGGGGGGGGTGGTGACTCAGAGGTGGACTTCCACATGGATTTGGAACTGCTTGAGTCATGCCAGTGTGCCAGGATGCGGATGGCGTGACCGGGACCCCTCCCCCGCCACCTGGCATGCCGTGGCAGCAAACCCCAAAGGTCAAAGGTCACCAGGTGGAAGGAGGGAGTACTAATATTGCTGACACACACCACTTCCCCACGCCCATCAAGCTCCAGAAAGGCAGCAATGTTAGGCTTAAGGGTGAAATATATATCCCATATACCGCACCCCCCTGATTACAGCACATAACTTAATCACCACACAGCCTGCAGGTTCAGGTGGGCCCCAGGACAGGGGCTGGAGGGCAGCATTTCCCTCTCAGGTAATGGCTTATGGATGGGTTACTGTCAGAGAAATGACCCCCTCCCCCCACGCCGCTGATAGCCCACCGCTGACCTTTCCCCCTTCTCTCTATCTCCTTCTCTCCCCCTCCCCTTTTCCCCCCTCTCCCTTTCCCCTTCTCTCTCCTTCTCTCCCCTTATCCCCTTCTCTCTCTCCCATTTAGCCCCCTTCTCTCTCTCTCCCTCTCTCCCCCTTTCCCCTTCTCTCTTTCCTTCTCTCCCCCTTCCTGTTACCCTTCTCTCTCTCCCTCTCTCCCCCTTCTCTATTTCCCTCTCTCCCCCTTTCCCCCCCTCATCTCTTTCCTTCTCTCCCCCTTTCCCCCTTCTCTCTCTCCCCCTTTCCCCCCTATCTCTCCCTCTCTCCTTCTTTCTTCCCCCCCCTCTCTCACTCATCTTCTCTCTCCCTCTGTCATGCATTTCTGAGTAAAAAAGGGAAAGGGGATGTCTTTTTTGGGGGGCACAGCACAAACGTTCTCTGATTCCCCTGAATAATTATATACCCCTCCCATCCCCGAAATTCATTTTCATCAAGAGGAAGAGCTTTGGCCTCATGCTGAGTAACACAACAAGCAGACTATTCAGTGGGGAGGGGGGCTTGGGGGTGTTTTTATTTCTATATTTCTATAGCTCTGCTGGGTGGGACCCCCACACACATTAAAGTGGCAGAGGGCTGCTGGGATCATGGGATGCAATATGGTGTCCTGATGGGGGGGTGTATGTGGGCTTGGGATAGAATGTATTTCAAAGTTAGGCCTCCTTGAATTTCCTCAAAGTGATCCCATAGTTCCCAATGGACATGAGGATGGCACTGAGGGGGTGGGGGCTGGCCCCCCAGCAGAGAACAGGCAGCTGAACCTGCACATGGTGTCAAGAAAGTTTGGACGAGTTTAAGGTCCCCATCCCTGCCAGTTCCAGTGTAACAACCCAGGTCAGGATCTGTGTCTGCGCAAGCTGACAAAGGTCAAAGGTCGGGGAAACCCGATGACCGGAGAGGATCATAGGAAAACACTGCAGCCCAGCACAGCAGAGGACGCCAAGCGGAAAAACCCACAGCCAGTGGAAGTGAAAAACAGGGCCCAGGGAGAGCGCAGTTAACAGCATAGGGATCGCCACTCACAGCACAGGTCGGGGAAATGAAGAAGGAGTGACGTGGAAAGCAGGAGACACTGAGCAGGTGAGCAGCATCTCCAGGGAGGTGCAAACAGAAAGAAAGCAGCACAGATGGTGTGAAGGCCACTCAGGAGCCTGGAGTCACACCCCACTTTGCTGGTTCAAGGTGCAGTAAACTGCAGCTACGAGAGTGGGCTGAACTCGAAGCCCCCCAGGATTAAAGGGGAGCTAGCATGAGGGTGCGGTTGAACTCGAAGCCCCCCAGGATTAAATGGGACGTGATGAGAGGGTACGGCTGAACTCAAAGCCCCCCAGGATTAAACAGGAGGTGGCGAGAGGGTACGGCTGAGGAAAATATTGCAAATCTCACTGATGGGAAGAAAATCAAAAGTTGACCGCTGAGTCAGACACACTCTTCAGGTGCTGATGAGGTCATGGTGACATCATGGCCATCACATGACATGTGCCCGCAGGGGGCCATGGGGGTCACCTGGGTGGGGCATTTCCCAAGACAGGGTATCTTTCCAAAAGCAAACACAGCCAACTTCAGCCCAGATTGAATGATCCATCACAACGCCACCATCTCTCCTGCGGACAGAGAGCTGATGTCCAAAAAGCTGCCTATTCACACATATATCAGTCTCAGGACATAGAGAAGCGCAGCTGAGCTGAACTGCAGCCTGGACAGCCACAGTAAAGAGGCCCAGCGCTGCCTCTTAAGCTGCACACACACCAGGCACCACAAGAACATTCCGGTAGGACGGGACCAAAGCAACTTTCTCCAAACAGCCAAGCAAGGTCCTTAATAAAACAGTCAAATGCTAAAATCTGCCCTAATAGTTGGCACCTTGTGAATGGGCACCAAATCCAACCACCTCCCCAGCCAACGCTTTCCCAACCTCTCTGTCCTGCCTTCCTGCTCTGCATCCATCAGGCCCACTCCTAACCGCCCCTCCCCCTCATGCCTTCCGTCTTTGTTCGGCTAATCCCCCCCATCAGATGGGGGCAGAAGTGACTCTTAAAAGTAACGTTCTGAAAAAAAAAAGGGTCGAGAGCCCATCTGGGCTGGCTGAAGAGCGTGAACGTGGAGGATCCAGCGAGGAGCTGCAGCATGGAGACCAGTACTGCGGGGGCCCATGGCTGCTGTGGCCGTTATTCGGTTGGTCTTATTGTTACACAAACCCTCCAACCCGGCCGCCCCCCGAAACAAAAAGCCTCGTCTGGTGAATTACCAAAGTACAATGGACATGCAGGGTCACCACGGCAACTGGCTATGGGGGGGTGCAGGGGCTGGAAAGGGGGGGGGGCAGAGGGTAGCAGCAGCTGTTATATCAGATTAGTTCAAATTCTTACCCCCCCTCCATGCACTTTTCTTACAGCACTCCCCGCCCTCACTTATTTCAGCTGCCTCGGCAGCAACTATTTTCTACTCCCTCAAAGTTGTCCGTAAACTTGCCCCCTGCCATCCTCATCCTCTCTGGTCTCTCTCTCCTTCAGCACTTCTGACTTGCCTCCTCAGTTCCTCTTTTCCGTTACTTTACCAGCCTTGATGACCTTTAGGACAGTCGAGGAGACCGCTCTTTCAGTCCACCCTTTCCCTTCATCCTATGAGCTCAACCTTCCATCCCTCCACCCTATCAGTCTACTCCACCATCCCTCCATCCTATCAGTACATTCTGTCATCCCTCAATCGAATTTGTCCACCCCCGCATCCCTTCGTCCTATCAGTCCAACCTACCATCCCTCCATCCTATCAGTCCATTCTGTCATCCCTCAATCCAATTTGTCCACCCCCGCATCCCTTCGTCCTATCAGTCCGACCTGCCATCCCTCCATCCTATCAGTCCACCCTTCCATCTCTCTATCCTATCAGTCCAACCCGCCATCCTTCCACCCTATCAGTCCACCCTGGCATCCCTCTATCCTATAAATCCAACCTGCCACCCATACATGCAATCAATCTATCTCGGCATCCCTTCATTTTGAGCCAACGGTGGAATTACCTTCCCAAACTGGTCGAAATACTGCTTCACGTCTTCGATGGTGGTATTGACTGACAGGCCTCCGACGAAGATCTTCTTCGTTCGAGTGACCGGCTGTGAGAGCAGAGAGGAGCAGCCTTTCAGTTCACAGAGCAGTCCACGCTACACCTGCACACCTGCCACTTCTTCAGACACGTCTTCACTGACCTACCACAAGCTACTGGACAACATGGGTGATGAAACAGCATAGAGACATTGTGGTTTGTGAAGGAGAACAGTAACAAGAAACAAGCACAGGGGAGAGATGTCAGCCCAATAGCACATCTTCAGAATAAACCCAGAACAATGACTTTAAAGGTGGTTTGGAGTGCAATCCCATGAACCTTTGGTAGAAATATCAAGCCTCAAACTAGCAAATACTCTTTAATTTCCATTCAGAACTATTCTGTTCTGATTTTTTAAATTATGCCATGTGATGTTTTGTGAGAAAGCTCAAACCAGATGAACATGGAGGATGGGGGGCTAAATCATGCTGCTGTTTCAGTTGCTGGGAAGTCATAAATAAGGTAAGTCACCGGGCACCAAGTCCGATGGGGGACGAGCTCTAGGCCTGGTCTGGGGGTCTGGACAGCACAGACTGGCGCCGAGGCTCAAGCCGGTCTCCGCAAGGTTGGGGTTGGGGGTCAGGGACACTGGAGGGGTCAGGGACACTGGAGGGGTCCAGGCCAGTTACCTTGGGCTGAGCCCTTCGTGGGAACGCCACTTTCGGGTCGATCTGAAAAAGAGAGAGAGCTTTTTAGAGAAACTTTGGGTCAAACAGAACCAGAGGCCCAGCAGAGCCTGACCTGTCCAATATTAAGCTTGAAATGAACAGACGTAACAAGGTCCTGGCTACTTGGCCAGAAGGAGCCCCCCTGTCTCCTAAAGGAGGTCCTTATCACAGCCCTTTGTGGCTCAGTGCGACTCAGCATCTCGCCGGCATGAATCGGCATGAGGGCTCGTCACGAGGCTGAGGATGAGGAATGTGGAGGGAAGGAACAGGGAGGAGGGAGGAGGCAAAGGTGGTGGGGAGGTGCAATAAGGAACCGTCAGAAGAGGAGGGACAGCAGGAGGAGGGACGGCACCACAGGAGAAGTATGAGGGCTTTCTCAGCACCTACACCATCTTCAGGTGCAGCTTCCAGAGCAGATATTACCTATTTCCTTACAGGCAGCCGAATATATTAAATTTGGCTTTGAAGGACCTTTAATCATCCTGAGAGGTGGACAGGCCTATTAGCACCAATGAGAAGAGTGGGAGAAATTTGGTGGAGTTCCTCTGCATTAGATCCTCTTCAGGTTAATGATCAGACAGGGGTTTTGAGTCACACTGCAAAGTCTATCAGAGCCTACAGAAGCAAATGACTTATGCTTGTGCATGCCCTGAAATGCAGGGTGATGGAAGCATTTATGGTGTTCCTGCACACCAGCAAGTGTGTACAGAACAAACCGGCTGGGGGGCCGAGGGGGCAGTCTGCAGCTGGCCTTCAAGGATGAACACATCCTTGATTAGTGCCCACGGTACTTTTTCCCATCGAGGCCCCCTCCCACTCTGCCCTCTGTGCTGTCACCCCAGTGACATGTCATGGGATCCCTTGGAATGTCACACAGGCACTTCAATCACAAGCCTTGCTCACCTCCAAAAGAACAGAGAGAGAGAGAGGAGGAGAAAGTGAAAGAGAGGGGCCCAGAGGAGGCGTTTGCTTTGATTGTGCTCGCTTGTTCTTCCCAGGCCTCCCTACTGCAGAAGGAGGATCATTTTACGGCAACAAAAGAAAAGCCACGCTTGGCAGCTGAATTTCCTGCTCCGGACAGGCACTTGAGAAGGTTCCGTGACGCTCCAGCCCCTCCGAGTCTGACACTGTAACTGCACATGTGCAGCCACGCAAGCCAGCATGTAAATCCACTGGGAAGCTTCTCCAGGACTTTCCATTCACCTTCCCTGACTGTAACCTGAATTCCCTGCCCGGCGACGTGTCAAAAGGACGAGCATGACAGGTCAGGGCTAGAGAACAAGACTAACATCTCTATATTAGTCTATTCTGATCTAACAGAACTACAGTACAGTGCTAGACTATGCCATGCTGTACTGTTGTTACACTAGGTGGTGAAACAGTGAGACAGTACAGCTCTAAGAGGGCTATATTAGTCCATAACCAAGACAAAGCAGAAACAGGACTACAGTAGAAGACTACTAAGGCAAGCTGTCCTGTTGTACAAGGACAGGCACTGAGTCAATATGTATCCAACTTTTCTGCAGACTCTAAGGTACAGTCAGCTAAACTAGACTCTGCGGAATCAGACACTGCAACTACAGTTTAGTGGTATGGTCTGTACACTACTCTGATAGTCACCTCTGGTCTCCAAACCTTCTGTTGTCCAACCCTCCTGTACACAGTTAAAAACAGACACACACACAAACAAACAAACAGCATCAGCAGACAGGAGCCAGCAAATCAGCAGGCATGTTAGACAGACGAGCTCGTTAAGTGTGGTACCATCAAGCTAAGACTTAAGTCTCAGCAACACTCACACAGAGCCCTGTTGTCGGTGACATCGCTTTCATCTTGACGGCCTATCGTGGGATGGGCGAGCACAACCGTCCGGCCTATCGTGGGGGGTCCGATTGGCTGACTGCTGCTCAGCTCAGCAGGCCAGCCACTCGTCTCGTTAATTAAAGAGACAGAAACGACATGTGCAGACGGTGCCGCTAAAAACACAGCAGCTGTGGTGTGTGAGTCATTGTGCATCAAGGCGCCGCTTTCGGCTGTCTAACGCGCCCGTGTGTCACAAACGGCAACAGGAGAAACCAAAAACAACCAAATGCGAATGAATCCAAATGACAAAACACTAAACCAAGAAGTACTGGCTGTCCGCAGGGTACCTACAAGATCCAGTGCCTTTAAGTCGCATTTGGAGGCAAGTCGAACAATAATAACAAAGTACATACAATAATGATACTGTAGTAATAATAATGATGACAGTAATCACATACGGTACTGCAGCAGTACCTCAGGCTGACAAACTGCTGTGGTCACAATATTTTCACGAGTGTCACAAAGCAGTGCATAAGCTTGTTATTATGAGCCATTGTACATATTTACCCCAAATATTTTATATAATAGGCTCTATGGCAGTCCATTTGTATGTATGAGTTGTCCAAAAGACAGAGGTCCTACACCCGGGGACTGCCTGTATGCATAACTGTCAAGTCTCCCGCTTTGGCCGGGAAACTACCGTATTTTACCCCTCTTTCCCGCCGTCCTCCCATATTAGTATTTTCCCGTAAATCTCCCGTATT